CGGAGGATTACGAGAACATAACAAAACTGGGTCATCCGTATGGTTCAATATGGCAACCAGATATTTTACTCTATAACAGGTTCTCAATAAACTTTACTTACCGTCGAAAACAAGTTGAATATTGAGATAATTCAATTTGGTCTAGATACTGACAAAAATTTTCTGGGCATTGATTACTCGATACACCGAGTTATAGAATGTAGCATTACAGTGTCGACTCTTCTTTTGATAGCACGTACAAAGCTGATCTTGTCAATTATTATAACGGTGATATGACTTGGAATCCGCCTGGTATCTTAAAAGTTTCGTGTAAAATTGATATTTATTGGTTTCCATTTGATGAACAAACCTGCTTCTTTAAGGTATACGCTTTCTACAAATTAAGCACGACTTTTTAATGCATATTTTGCAAAGTATATTAAATAATATCGTTTATTCACTGATTTTATTCAATTATCGTTAGTTTTAATCAAAATATTTTTATTTGGTGTTTAGTTTGGTGCCTGGACTTATAATGGAGCTCAACTGGACCTCCAGGAAGGGCAAGTTGCTCTACAGGAGTATCTCGAAAGCGGCCAATGGGCCCTTCTTAGTGAATTTTCATTTTTATCTTTCTAAAACGAGGTTCTATCTTTGGTATACTGAAAAAGCTTAAAAAGTTTTTAGGCTAGAGGTTGTTCCTGTTTTAAAATTTTTGGTATATATTTTAGTTTTTTGATAGTTATTTTGCAGAAGCTTGGGCGGTAAGGACAGAAGACAATTACGGGTTGGCTGAAACATATCCAGATATCAAGATATATATGCGTCTGAGGCGAAGGACTTTGTAAAGTGTTGTTTGGAGTCAGAAACTATTCTAACCCAGCTATTGTTAAAGTTTTTACTACCAAATACAAAATTATAGCCATTACTTTCTGCTTTGCTTCTCACTAATCAAACTCTTTAAATAGTTTTCTTATATGAAATTTATGTAGTAATAGACAGCCTTATTGAAGCAGACGAAGTAGAATTACACTCAAATTTATCATCACAAACAGTTTATCTGCTGTCTGTGATATGTAAACGTTATTTGGTAGAAAATTTCAAGAAGATGAAGAAATGTTAAAAAATATTGGTTGCAGCATATATTACTTCTGATTAGGGTCTTACTTATTGCAGGTACTATGCCTTTAATTTGATAATGCCTTGTATGCTTACGGTGATACTAATAGTCCTTGGTTTTACACTTAGCCCTCAGTCTTGCGAAAAAGTTGGGTTGCAGATCAGTGTATCGTTGGCTATTATCATCTTCTTAACCATAGTCAATGATATGACGCCGCCAACTTCGGAAGCTGTTCCGCTTCTAGGTGATGTCATTAAGCTTGTTGTAATTATCATTATTAACCTCTGAAGTAACCAACAAAATTGTTTGTCGCTTTTTCTTCACAGAAAAAGAAATACTGCTTGCAATTTAATTATCTTTAGAGAATTTTTGTATTTTAAAATTGTATTCGCTAAGTTTACTTTTACGGAAAAACATAGCCTAAATTATCAAAATTTCCTTTCTTTTATTGCCAACTCTACATCTTCAGGTGTATTTTTTCATACTTGCGTTTATATATCGGTAGCAGCAACGGCATTTACTGTCTACGTTCAAGCAATTCATTTTCGTGATCCAGAAAATTCGCAACGAATGGGATTTTGGGTAATTGATCGGTAGTTAATGGTAAATTTAGCAAATATGACATTTTGCAAAAGTTTATTTGATTGTCTGGTGAATTACAGATGCACTTTATGCTACTTGAATTAATTCCATATTTACTTGCTATAAAAAGACCAAAGAGAAAGAACAATTGGCAAACGATAAAGGAAAGTTGGAGAAATCGTGGCCTTTATGATCCAGAAGAAGGTTACGCATCACTTCATGTAGGATCTTTAAGTTTCAGTGACCTTGATGTCATTCTATGAATAATAATTCAATTTATTACACATAATTACTGTCAAAATTTTTTTTCAGCTGCTGATAAAATTAATTTTTGTGTTTTATAACGCGATGATTATTTGCCTTAATGTTTTTTTCTTTTCGTTTCTTCTCTTCTCTTCCCTTTTCTTCTTTTCTTTCCTCTTCTTTCCTCCTCTCTTCTTATCTTATCTTATCTTTTTTTCTTTTGTTTCTCTTCTCTTCTCTCCTCTTCTTTCCGTTCTTAATTCTCTTTGTTTAGGACACCAAAACGTTCCAGTCGTCAAGCTTAATCAAGAAAGCTTTACGAGAAAACTTTCAAAATTTATTGTTTCAACTGGAAGCGCGTGAACAAACCCAAAAGACACAGTTATCACTGCAACGTATCAAAGTGTTAAATAGGATTTACAATCATGTTAAGGTCAGATATTTATTGACAATTTTTAGTGCCAATTAAACTGCAAACAATTTATTTCATTAATTATTTCTTAATTTTTTTCCTGTTGTTGTTTAAACAAAGAAAAAAAAAATGGAGTTATAGGTGCTTAAATCTGCTATATTTTGTAAGCAACAATAATTTGCTTCTTATGTCATAGGCGTTACGTAAAGGTGCAGAAGATGAGAGCGAAGTCAGAAGTATTGGTATTGAGTATCAGTTTGCCGCTTTGGTATTTGATCGATTGTGTTTGGTACTGTTCACTACAGTGATGATCCTTACCACAGTTATCAATGCTGCAAGAGCACCGTATCTGTTTGCATAATGTTTCTGACTTTCAATACACTAATAAAATATTTATTCTTTTATTTTCTAAGGTATTGTTTGTGAATTTTGGAAATATTTTTTTCTTTACAAGTTTATTTCTGACTGTATTTGGTGCTTTCAATTTTTTTATAAACAAAAAAAAAATTAAGTAATCGAAATTAAAAACGATAAAGCGAAGAAAAGACGTTCGGGTAAAATGAAAGAAATAAATAGTCTATTGATAAAAATACCTAAACTGTTTGTTGTATAATTGATTGAACATTGCAGATGGTTCAGTTCTGCTCTGAAAATTGTTTTTGATAAGCAAATAAATTAATAAGTGCTATCTGTATGCTATTTATTCACTGATTATTGGTTACAAAAATAAATTTAATTGTAAAATAAATAAAGAATTTTTTTTCCACTTCGCCGTTGTTGGTTTTTTTTTTTCGTTGCTTTTGATACTACTATTGCTGTTATTGCTACTGTTGTTGCTACTGTTGTTGTTGTTGTTGTTGCTACTGTTGCTACTGTTGCTGCTGCTACTGCTGCTACTGCTACTGGTGCTGCTGCTACTGTTATCGGGTACTTGTTATTTGGATACAGTTACTTTTATTAATACACTTTCACTGATTCTTGTCCAACAGTTGGTTTCAATGCCAAACAGAATCTTTTTTTTCCTCTTCAGTGTTTTCAGAACTCTTTACTTTCACATCCGTATTTCAGTGTTATATCAGATTTTCACTGAACGAGAACTCAAAGAGTAACGATCTATGAATTGTTTCAACTTTTTCCAGGTGTTACACCCTTCAACTGTTTAAACAGTGCAAAAAACAACAGATTATATTTGTAATCTTTTCAAATATGAATTAATTTATTAACCTATTTATCGTCTTTTTTTTCTTAGCTTAGCTGCCGTATTTTCTTCCTTGTCAACAGTTTTTTAATTTACTTTTCTCTCGTAGTTATTAATAACGACAAAAAAAGAAGCTGTTTTATGAGCTTTAAGTTATTGCTGAAAACGATAGCTAGCTAACAGAGAGCAACTTTTAAACAACCTTAAAAATTTCTAACATTTTCTTTTTTTGATCTTCTTTTTTGGCTATATAGTTACTTTTTTTTGGTTTACTTTTTTTGGCTATATACTTACTCATTCTTTTTCTTCTCGCTATTTTATTTTTTGACTTTTATATTTACTTTTAAGAGTTATAAATCAAATCAGTGTGGGTAAAATCAAAATATGTTTAAAAGAAATAAATTGAGACAAGATTAATGTTAGCTAAAAAAATAGTAGAGATTTTGATTAATAAAAAGAAAAAAAAA